TCATGTAAATACACATTCAGAGTTTGTCAATTCTGTGGGATTTTCTTTATTGGATGGTTTCCAATAGCACTTTACTGAAATGAGCCAATTTAAGAGGGGCGTTCATTTCATATTAGTGCATGCATTGGCACATGTTTTCAGTTAAGATGGGCTGCTTTATTGCACTTTACAAAATTATTTTTTAGCAGATCAACAAATCATCTGTATTAATGTAATCAATGTGCAGCCACAGCAAAGTTGATTTTAGCGTTCATGCTGACCACCTGAGGGAGTGAGGGACAGGAAATATGTTCATAAATTATTAAAACAACCACAATGATCAGTTCAAATATCAATTCTGAAATGCTGTAATTATTGTGTAAAACTCTTACCTGAATTCAATGTTGCAACATGCAACTTTATTCATTTTAAGTATTTGTGTATACATTTTGTATAATAGTCTTTGTAATTCCCAGGTCTGTAACATCTGTGAGTGTGCATCTCCTTGTTTCTGTATTTCAGGAATCAAGAACATTTATTATCAAAATATGTCAGACATACAAGGAATTTGACTTGTGGGTTGGTGCATAAAATCTGTTGACTCCTGCCAGGGCACAAACTGTTTTTTCCAGGGTAAGAGGAGTCGGCAACAATCTTTTTAGCTTGCTTTAGTGTCCTGGAAGCGAACAAGTCCTGGAGAGACGGCAGACTGCAGCCAATCACCCTCTCTGCAGAGCGGATGACACGCTGCAGCCTGAAGGCAGACTCGTCCCCACCAGAGATCAGTCCAATGAGGGTGGTGTCATCCGCAAACTTCAGGAGCTTGACGGACTGGTGACTGGAGGTGCAGCTGTTGGTGTACAGGGCGAAGAGCAGAGGGTAAAGAACACAGCCTTGGGGGGAACCGGTGCTGATGCTCCGAGAGGCAGAGACATGCAGGTGGAGCCGGGCATGTGCAGCTGGGAGAGTTTGTCCTGCAGCAGAGACGGGATGACTGTGTTGAAAGCAGAGCTGAAGTCCACAAACAGGATCCTGTTTGGGCTCCTGGGGAGTCCAGATGCTGGAGGATGAAGTGGAGGGCCATGTTGACAGCATGGTCTACAGACCTGTTGGCTCTGTAGGCGAACTGCAGGAGTCCAGGAGGGGGTCGGTGAGGGTTTTTTTGGTGGGACAAGACCAGCCGTTCAAAAGACTTCATGACTACAGAGGTGAGGGCGACGAGCCTGTAGTCATTGAGTCCTGTGATCCTGGGCTTCTTGGGAACAGGGTTGATGGTGGAGGTCTTGAAGCAGACTGGTACGTGGCATGTCTCCAGGGAGGTGTTGGGTTAGGGTTAGGGTTCGATGTCTGTGAACACCAGAGACAGCTGATCAGCACAATGCTTCAAATTGTGGAGGGAGAAAGAGTTCGGACCGGCTGCTTTGTGAGGGTTTTGTCTTTTAAAGAGCCTATTAACCTCTCTCTCCAGAATAGAGAGGGTCGTCGCTGGTGGGGTGGGGATGGGGGAGGGTAGGGTGATACAGAGGCAGGAGCCCCTGATGGGCTGGGGGTCTGGGACAGGTTGGTGGAGCTGTTGGGAATGGAGTCAGGACATTGACTCAAATCTGCAGTAGAACTCGTTAAGCTCGTCTGCTGGTGGAGGTCATTAATGGAGTGGGGGGTTTTGGACTTGGTTTGTGAGGTATTTAAAGCCTCTCCAAACCGAAGCAGAGTCACTTGCTGATAACTGTTGTTGAAGTTTCTCAGAGTACAGCATTTAGCAATCTCTCACTGCCTTGCTAAACCTGTATTTTGACTTTGTGTTTCTGTTTGTGTTGAACGTGACTGTGGTTGTCAGTGTGAAAGACGACAACAAACATGCGAGTACGTTGCCAGATATCGCACAATAGGCATGCACAAAACAATCCCTCCCTCTATCACAATTGCCTGTTTAGCTTTCTTGTGCTTTTGTTTTGTACAGCCTCATTTGTGATGGTATTTATCTCGGTAAAAGATACAAAAACCCTAGTTCAGGTCTGAAAGAAGAGTCATTTACAATAATTTACATTACCAAAAACGGTATTTTACCATTACAATAACCTCAGACAATAGCACATATCTTCACCATTCATTTTGAGCAACAAATGAACGGTGGTACACAAGCTCACATTGTTCTGTGAAAAATGTGGCTCAGACGTAATCATCTCCCCCTGCACTTTGTGCATTAGATAATGAGAAGATGCTGATAAGTTCCTCAATACAATCTGTTCCCCATTGGCTAATCCACATCCTACAGCATTGTGAGGTACACAATGATAGTTTACTATTGCTCATTCAGCTTAACAATGACTTAAACATTTGCAATATATGAACAAACACCCTGTTTCAGATCACTCATCCATTTAAGAGGATGCCAGTTTTGCCCAGTAGCAGCTGTGTGTTGCTTGGAGAGTGTAGATCATTGTTAGTCTCAAATCACAACATCACCTCGACAGACTGAGAGAATGTTTTGCAAAAAGTAAATACACCAAAAATGTATGTGGCTGTAAAATGATCTTAATTACACACTTGAATACATATGGGTTTGCAGTGAAATGCAGAAAGTGAATGAAGAATGGATCTTTAACATGATGTGGCTGCAGTAAAATGTTCCCATTTCCCTGGGATCTTGTGAAGAGAGAACATTTTCAGTTTAGCTCCCTCCTCTGTCAGGTACCTGGGGTATTGAATCTCAGTGACACTCAGGCCCTTAATAAGAAGCGGAACGACACCCTCATATTATAGCTTGTGCCCTACCTCTCCCCATTTCTATGACTTGCTTTAATAAATTACTGTTCAATAAGAACTTTTATGATCTTGGCATATGTTGCTTTTTATAGGTGAAAATAATTGCGTTCCCAGATCACACTGCCCATTCTGAACATGAGAATGAGACTAGCCAAGCTTACAAAATGAGATAGTTTCACACTGTCTGCACAAGTCCTTCTCTTTAGAGTCCTTGTACCTCCCCCTCCTTTTTCCTCAGTTTCCTAGTATACCTTCTCGAGCACCACCCCCCCCCCCCCTTTGCCACTCTCGACTCCACTCATGCCTAGAGAGGGCTGCGCTTGCATGCCAACAGGCCCTCTTAAACCCACGAGATACCATCCCCCATTCAACTTCACACACACACACACACACACACACACACACACACACACACACACACACACACACACACTGGGTCTTGTTGTAGAGTTCCCACTGAAGTGTGACAGAAGCCACTTGACAGGTGACACACACACTTGATGTTATCGGGTCAGGGCCAGAGATTCAGCCTCTTGAGTGATGAGAGACTGTCACTCGCATTGTTTAGAGGCAAGAAAGAGGGCTTCTTTCTTTGTTTGCCATATATCACTCAAGGGGAAACGGCGAGAAAAGAAAAAGACAGAACCTCGCTCCCCACAGAAGATACGCTCTTACATGTGGAAATGCTGGGTCACACACAGTAACTAAAACAACTTTGAATTACTGAAGCCCATTAAGACTACCATGGAATACATAATGGTACCGTTCATTATAAGTTTTTTTTTTGCTGAAATGCCAAAACAAACACAAACTCCATGAGGGCTAAAATAAAAGTGCTCTTCATTCAATCAAGTGTATTGGAGTCGGTTCACAAATTGATTGATTTGGTTATCGGCATTGTCAATTGATTACACCTATAGGGCGATAATGAAATAACTAATTAAATATGCTTCCTTGTAAACAATTTGTTAAAACATGCAAAACACAAAGGGACACGTCTTGCTGAGACTCTGAGTGGCTTTTAATTAATTGATGACCAAATTGAATAACCTTCGAATAACTATTACCCATATATTTTGTTTGCTGAAAGGAGTAATCCTATTCATACGCCAGGAAACAAGGATGCACCGATATCACTGGTTTTGGGCATCTTCTGTTGTTGCTCATAGTTTTTAATAACTAGCAGCAAAAAGTGTGTGGAAAACAGAAAAGTGTCTTGGCACTGAAAGAAAACTGTTTACCTGCCTAAATGTATCTACCTAAAGGTAAGCCCACCTGAGCCTAAAATAAGTTGTTCACATCCGGGCTAAACCCTTCATTTCAACCAGCAGTTGGCTTGCATGCAAGACAGGAGAGCTCTTCTTGGGTCTTGAGGATTTGTAGCATTTATTCAGCGACAAATAACCTGCTTACACACTGTTCTGCCACGCTCAGAGCTATGATGTTACTCCGTACTCATCATCACACAAGCTGTCTCTCTCTCTAGACAAAGCTCTCACTGACAATACGTCGGCTGTGGAATACAATGGTGGAAACTTGCAGCTTAACTTATTGATACAGAAGAGACTTACCAAGAAAATAGCTGCATGGGTGCACGACAATCCCCACAACATTGGATGGTTACCGTAGCCAGAAAAGGTGAATTGGAATCTCAGTTGCTCGTTTTGGTCATAAACTGCAGCTGATGATACATTATGGATACAACCTATTGCATTGGTTATAGTTGCAGCTGGGTTGCTTGTTCGGCACTTCAATTGCACCCCCACTGCAAGCAATTAAGGCATTCGAAGATTAGCTTTAGGTCTCAAAAAATACTTATCATAACTTATCCTAAACTATTTCTCCAATCTACTGACATTTTTCACATCCACCTACCTGTTTAACTGGTAAAACTGTACTTATGTAGTGCTTATTTCTACACAGGATTGTTGTATTTAAGGTGTTTGGCTCAGGCCAATATGGATCAGCATCCACAGCTTACAATCAGGGTTCAAAGATCATCGTTATTGAGACTGTGGTTTCTTCGTATTTCATCATGGATGTAATGAGTGAAAATACTCATTACTTAAATTAACATTTGGAGGAAAGCACTTTACTCTGGCACAAATGTCCTAAAGGCTTTTTATAATTAAAATTGTACAATTTTTTTATATTTAGTCTCTTGTCTTTATGGTTGGCCTCCTTCACGTCTGTAAAATATAATCATGGAAAATATGCAAAACTTAAGAGGTTAGTTCAGAAAACGAAACAACAAATGTTCTTCTTACAATAATTATTTATTAAATTTAAAATATCTTTAGCACAGGTTAAAAATTAGACACTTGCATCTACCATGAGCGCCTTGGGATACAACATGGTTCTAACATGGTTGAAAATAAACACTCTTAGAAACCAAACAGATTTCTCCATCCTTTTTCCATCACTGTCTTCATAAAATGCCGCATTAGATTTGCAAGGGCAGAGGCAAATTTGGCATATAGATAATTATTGTCACTTGAACTGAAAACATTGAAAAAAGAAAACATTTCTAAATGTCCCTACGTGCAAATCATAATTTTTTGATTTTGGAATGAGTCCAAATTGCTTGTTGAACCTGTTTTATAGTGTGTTGGGGTTTTTGCCATTTAAAAATAACGGCGCACTTCAGAGCTGGTGATACGTCTTTTTGGTGAGATAACCAAAATCAAGCAACAGTTTTACCATTAAATTTGGTTGGCTGGCTTAGACACTAAGAAAATGTTATTAATACATTACGCCTATGCATGTAAACGTGCAGTGGCAATGCAAAAACTACAAAGAGTGTGGTCACACTGCCATCCTTTCCCTCATCTACAATCCCACAAATTACTGATTTATGGTCATTTTTGCCTCAGCCCTCCTTTATGAAACATAAAAAAGGACAACGAGTAACATGAGCAGAGCACTGTAGTAAATGGCAGGCCAATGCGTTAGTTATCAGTAAGAAAAGATTAACAGCAAAGACATATATTTTCCAGTTTTGAAGTTGTTTACAAACCATATTTGCGTTCACAATTCATTATGTATTTCGATGTTTGATTTTTTTTCATTTTTTATTACATGCCATATGAGAAGTCTCGGTTACAAAAGTACCTGAACAAATTGCTTGTATATTAGCATGCATAGCTGTTTGATATTTACATCCTATTTACACACTTGAACTAAGAAGAGAAGGATCTACAATACATTTTCTTTTCATGTGTTTCATTTACATTTCTAAGATGGAGAACAAAAAGAAGCCTCATACCAATCTGCAGAGTACACAGGACATGCACATGAAATAGAATGTTTGCATGACTGAAGAACACGTGGTGTTTTGTTCGTTATCACTGAAAAATGAATAGCTCAATTGTGTTACAAGCTACGTCTCTGACCACTGGCACTGCATTGCATAACACAGATCTATTTTTTTTCTCCCCTTGTCTATATTGCGCACCAGTCTCTGAGCGCAAGGGGGCTTGGAAAGGTTAATTTACGATGTTAACCGTGCCGTGAAGGGAAAAGCAAATAGGAAAGAGTATGCACAGCACCGGAGAAGGACATTAAGCTGCGGCTACATCTTTCTCTTCTTCGCTCCCTGTACCCGTCCAGTGACAACAGTAGGGCCCTCAATGTGTACAAAGACACGAGGGCTATCACCATCCATCATTGCAGACATACTGAAAGGATCTTTCACCAGTGATGAGCCTTCAAGCAGGAACACACTACTGAAACATCAGTGTTTTCATTTACTTTTTGTTCCTGGTGTCGTTCATAGCCACAGAAAAATGCCCGTATCAACATAACACGTTGCAGAAAAAATAAATACATCCGTTGGACCACTGAATTGACATGATCAGTAGTTAGTGTAACACAAAGAGGAAGACCGTAAAGAAAATGTATATACACATTAAACAACTCAAATGTAATGCTGCATCACATCTATTTACACATTTTACTTCCCTTATGTTATGGTAGTGTATTTTAGAAAGGTTGGAAGACATGGATATATTTAGACCGCAGCTAGTATTTATAATCCAGTTCATTGGGTGTTGCAGACATTGAAGATATTTCTCATTTAGTTTGAATACAATCAGAATAACATCCTTGACTCCCCTAATAGTGCAGGTGCTTTGTCCACTTCCTGCTCATTTACTCTCGACCTGTAATATAGGCAATGAGCAGCACTCTACCCTCACCGGGGGTCCATAAACGCTGGATTTCACAGAACTGCCTTTGATAAAGGAGGGAGGTGACTGCAGGAGCATGTTAATGTGCTTTCCCATAAAGCTTATCTCTGACTGGGGTCACAGAGGCCAAGTGGCAAGGGGCTGATAGCCATAGCAATAAGACCCTGGAAGCAGTTACTGCAGCTTACGACCCCCTCAGACAATAACGGAGCCAACCAAGGCCCACCTTTGGATAATCAAACATCTCATCCAGGCCCATGTGGGAAATAATGTGGACATTTAGTAGAGTACAATTGAAATGAGGGGCTAGCACAACTTGACCTCTGCTAACAGAGAAGGGGGGGCATGTTTAATTGTCCATCAGCAGCAGTAATGTAAAAGTATATAAATACAAAATCACGAGCTTACCCACAGTGTTGAGACTTGGCTAGTTGAAAGAAAAAAATAGCTGTCTAGCTGCACAATTATTTTTCTTGTATATTTTTCAGGTATATGTGATGATACTGTATAATTTTGTGGACTAAAGTCGAGAGCTTTGAAGCATACTTTGATAGCATATGGTTATCCCCTGCTGTCTCTCACACTCTGCTCTGTGGGGGGTCCAGAAGGGACGTATACATAACTTTCTGCACTCTGCAAACTTTTCACTTCTCTGAAACTGAAGGATTACACCCTGTTCACAGCAGGGGGAACAGCATGTATCCTAGCATCGTCCCTTGAGCCACTTTAATCTTTATTTTACACCCCAAAGACAAACCCTTATGTCCCACAAAGGATAACCAGCCTCAGATGGCAGAGGAAATCAAATCAAGGCTATCGCCTTTCTTATTTCGCTGTGTACCTGACCCCCACTGAGTGCATACAGTATTATCGTGATCACAATGGGCATGGTATGGCTACAAGAAAGTCCATTCTGATTTTTCCATATACATTAGCCACATCAATAGTGTTTCAAACCCGGAAAATTGCAGTCTAGTTTAGCTACCGTTAATTGTCTCTCTCTTCTGGCTCAGGTGCAGGAAACTAAATCAAGCTGTCAGAACCCAGACTGCACAGCTAAGTGGTGCACAGGCTGAAATGCCTGAGCACAGATTTTGGACATTTATCTTTTTCCCTTTTCATTTATTTCTGAAGTGGCGACTTGAGTATTTGGAAAAGACCCTACTGCTATGAATACAATTCATTTGTCTGTTTTTGATACTCTCACATGACGGTTTCAGCTATTCTAACACAGATAATAGTTGCTAAAAGGATCTGTTCACCTCCATTACCTAATCAGATGCAACAGTTTTGGTTTACAGCATTTAGAAATTGTATTACACTGAGACCAGCCCAGAGCATATACTCCAATTGAGGCATTTTGGTTAATCCGATTCTCTCCGACCCCCCTACAAATCGTCTTGGGAGCCAATCTCATCTCAGTGAGGGGCTTGAAGGCTAACTGCTCAGCCAGAGCACAAGCTTATGCGCAGGCCAGAATGAGGTGGGAGTAAAGGCTTTAAAGGGCTGTATTATTCATCCCCGCCATTAACTATGTGACATAAGGAGGTCTTTTATATCTTTGCTTCTGTCTGGCTATTAGAACAACCACCATCCAGTCAATCTCTAAATCTATGATGTTTCAATGCAATTCATTATGAGCATTTCTCAAGTTTTTTTTATTTCTCAAGTCTAAATACCCAAGCAAGTCAGTAATTATGTGAGGAATGTCAGTGTGTACAAATTATAAGTTCAAACATGTGAATCCATTTTTAAGGGACTCTGGGCGGCTGTAGGTGAGGATTAAAACGGGTTTCCTCACTGTAATCCTTTCCCCTTTGACCCGACTGCCTGTACCTCAGGTCTGGCTTGAGGTCACTGTAAACCATCACAGCCCACCAACACAACTATGCAATGTGAAGTTAATATTTATATTTGAGCTTTTTGAATATTCGTCAAACTTTGTTTGAAATGTTTTCATTCTTATCAAAATTAAATTAAAATAATTGTTACTGGTAAGCCTGGTTCAAATTGAATAACTGTTTATTTTTTTACATTTCATCATCTATACGACCGTATTCTGAACACATCTTAAGCCAAAAGTCAATGATGCAGTGTGTCTTGACTGTTACTGTCATCATCAGACGGGTCACTTTTGTACCTATTGTCTGTCTCAGACGTTGTTTTTCTCACCAGTGTTCTGCCTCTGTGTTTACTCGCTTTGCCCTGATGTGCATCCGCCCCAGTGGTCCACAGACATACCCAGTACGCATACAAGCCAGCCTGTGATGGCTGAGTGTTTAGTCAGAAAGACAAATACTTATTAACCAGTTGAGATAATGGGTTAGGTGGTAATCAAATAAAGTGGAGATAAGTTAATAAGCTACAGTGGATTAAGCTACAAAGGATTTATCTTTGCTGGATTGGGACATGTATGCTGCTAAACATTGAGATACACAAGCGTGGTCCTTTCAACATGGTTAAGTGAAGAAAATTGGACATTGGTAGATGAAGATCAACTACGTAGCTGTTATATCTATTTTGTGGAACTGACTTTCTCTGCTGTATGGGCAACTTTGCTGAAACCAGTTATATTAGTCCAGGGAAATGGGAGATAGACAGCAAATGACGGGGTTGAGGTGAGCAGAGAAAAGAAAGATAGGAACCTCGTGTCGATGAAGGAGGTGAGTGGGGGGAAGGAAGAAGCCGAGAGTCAGAGGCTGATTAAGTGGGGCCCATACGTGGAAGACGCCGGGGACGCGGCCCAATAGGGGGGTGAATCTGAGTCAGTAGTGCTCTATATCTTTCGTCTCCCTGCCCCCTTCCTCTTTCCCACGTATCCATCATGTTAATATACCAACAGCGTGGCCTTCTGGGTAATATATCTTTGACCTGTGATTACGCTAACAGCTTATTGTTTGCACACTGAACAATCCCATTACGTCGAAGATCTGTTTACATACAGGCTTGCTGTTTAGATTACCGTGGTGGTTGTGTGTGTGTGTGCGAGAGAGAGAGAATGAGCAAGCATGTGCGTCTATGTGTTTGTGTGCACTTTCACACATGTGTACATCTCTGTATGTGTACGTGCCCGCGCTGACCCCGGTCAGGGTCATTGCCCGATAAAAGCACCCACGGTGCCATGTCTATCGTGGTAGAACAACGCAGTATTTGCAGTGAGCAGCCGAGAAAATCCGCCCGTCACACATTTGCTACAGCTGCGTCGAAATGCAGCTTTGTTTGACTTCTAAGAAAGTGGAAAGCCTTGAGGCTCAGAGAAGATCAGCACTTGCTCAATGTCTTGTTTCCTACCACATAGAGCACATCACACGTGAGTGACGTCTTCATCCTTACAGCATTTTAAATCTTCTTTGAATAATCACGTCTAAGTCATAAGTCCTATTTCAAGTTTGTTTACATGTTGACTGTAAATACCCTCATGCGCTCCGACGGTATTTGGATTGAGAGTATTTCGTCATATAAATTGGCTTCACAAAGCGTCACTTAATTTAAGTGATCTACAGCTCCTGTATTCTGGTGGAATCAAGTTTTCTTGATAAATGGTGAGTTTTGATCAGTTTGTTCAAAGTGTAAAAGGACACACCTGTTATACAACGTTATAATTTATCCCTACTTATCATGTTCTGCCAAGATTTTCTGGGTGTCTTTAAAAGCGTACAGCTGTTGTGGGCAGGCATTGTAGGACCATTGGGACGTAAGGGTATAAGTTTTTAACCACAGGGCTAAACATCTGCTTGAGCTAATGGCCATGCTCATTAACACAAAGTTAACCTAAGACAGGACGTGAGGTCATGACATCCCAGAGAGCCGCATGACGGTGTGACAGTGTGAGGTTGAGGTGTTATTGAACACCAAGGAGTCTGCCCGGTCAGAAAAGAATATGCTATAAGCTCAGTACAACTTACATTTGTGTATATTTTCCTCTTGTGTCCCTTCTCGGCCGCCTTGCTTCGTTTCGCTGCTGTCCCCTCAGACATCTCTCTGGCAGTGCACAGACTCATTGAGATCTGCAAATCCCTTTGACATAGGATGAATGGACAGTTGCTGGCAGATTGCCCCATGCCACTTTGTGTTCAGCCACTTAATTGGAGCGCCCCAGTTTGCCTTCCCTCCTCTCTTCTCCTACCCATGTTCGCCATGGCCAGGTTCTGCCTGACATCAACAGCGAGGTTGTGTGTCCCTCCAAAGAGTTTAAATTTATCGGCAGGGTGGTGACAATTTCTGTCATGTAACTAGATTTTCTTAAGACGAAGAGGGAGACGTCCAGCTGACGAAGAGCTCGTATTGGCTCATTCAGTCAATCCAGTAACGAGGCCCACCTACGCAACCCCTTCTATGGACAATGGCGAATATCCTCAACATGCAAAGTACAGCATCTGAGACTATAAATAGTTGATATATTTTACATATATACAGCAACATATTGGAGTGATGCTGTGTATAATTGTGTTTCTGTATGCATGCGCTTGTATGCGGGAGTATTTTTCTGTCAAAGTGAACCAGTGTTTGTTTTGTATTGCCCCGGTGACATATGCATCCATCAGTGGAATGGACACTTTCCTCGTGACGCTCCGAGGGCATGCAGTTCGCAATAGAAGGGACAGTAGAGGGGTCATTGATAAGTCATGGTTCCCAAGATGCACAGCACAAGCTGAGAGGTAGAGGATGCACGTTGGTGGAGATGAGGTGTTCAACAACCTTTTTTTTTCTCCCCTGTTGTCCATGCAAAGGTTTTCTGTCGTCCCCAGTGATGGAGTAGCATATGAGGATGTACCTTCATTGACACGGCATATTATATGTCAGTCCATTTGGTTATCTTCGCAGTCCAAAGAAGATGGAGGGTCCTCATGTCTGCATTGCAATCAATGAGGCGTTCTTTTTTTTCCCCATGTGTGGGCTCATGATGGAAGCACCGTTTTCAATGATGCAAAGAAAAAGTTGGTGCTCACTGGTTGACCGAAAATTCTCCACAGCAGTTACAACCCACAGGGAGGGACAAGGGAGAGGGCAATTATTGCGAGAATAAATACGTAAGTATAGGAAAGAAAAATAATAAAATATTAAAATGTGATATTTATCAGTGCTCAAGTTGACTTGTGGGTTTGTTTTTTTCATCTTCAGGCCGTTTGTTTCCTGATGGAACAGATTGATGATTGCAAAGGAAATTCTGCCTTAGAATTCTTGTAAAATAATATTGCCTATAGCTAATACCTTTATGTATATATTTAAATACACAAGAAAAGTGTTCAGACACATGGGACTATTTTCTATAACTATCGGGAGTACGTTAAGCTTCTAAAAAGGTCGACTGAATTATCAATGTGTTGAGATTTGTGATATAATAGGGGAGTGGTAAATAAACACTATAGTCTGTACCATGCGGTTGTCTTCATTTATCTCTATATACATCTACTACTGTTGATATTCAAGAGGAAGACAAGGCCGTTATGTAAAGAGAATAAGAAGAGTAGGAAGACGATTCTTTACAGTCCAAATAACTCCCAAGAGTAGAGGAATTATATTGGAAATGATAATTACATGGTCTCTGACGAAGCAGGAAGAAAACTGACTTCATATGGAAAATATTGAACCATGAGTACTCTATCCACAGTTATGGTGGTTTATGAAGTTGGTGAGAGCGACTTGGTATGTTTTCTATATTAGGAATAAGAATATGGTTTTATCATGATATATTTACATAGGCATGCATCAATGATCTTCCGATCTGAGAGAAAATAGTCCTTCAAATTTATCTGACATTATCAACCATCTCATGAGTCTGTCCTTTTTATCGTTTTGGTGTTTTGTAGAAAAAAGCTGGAGGTAAAATATCAGGGAGGAAACGTGAGCTCAAGAGGCTCTCAATCATTCCACTGTAGGGATTTCGAGGGATCTCGGTGGGTCTTTTGTTTTTAGTGAAGTCCTTTTTGAATGTTGTGCTTTGTAGGTGTCTTCCTACGATTGGTCAGCCGCCTTGATGTCATCACTGCCCTGCCGTTGGGTTCTGTTAGCAGAGAGAGAAATCCAGAGGGAAGAGAGAAGGGTTTGGAAAAGACAAGAAAGAAAAGTCATTAGTGTAAAGCAGACCCGATTTCTCACTTTAGACCTTGGTGTAGTGCTCCAATGCATGTACACACACACACACACACACACACACACACACACACACACACACACACACACACACACACACACACACACACACACACACACACACACACACACACACACACACAGAGTGACACATGAGGCAGTAAGCGAAGTCCACATTGTGAGCTGGACCCGTGTCTAAACCCGGCTTCCCAGTCAGTGAGTCACAGCAACTGTATTTGGGAGGCTCTGCTGTCACTTGTGCCTGTGTAGGAACAAAGACACAATGACCACCCTGTGAGTGTACACGGCGAGCCCACTTGGCTAAGATTCACAGTGACAGTGGCGTCAGCATGGGGGTGAGTCTTTAATCAGCTTTAATTAAGGCCAAGGAGCGACAATGGAGATGGGTCTACTCCATGTCTATATCTTCAGAGTATTGTGTTTGTTATTTATTTTTAAAAGCCAGATTTTTTTTGTAGGTTTTTGTCTTGAAATACACAAAGTTTGGGGAGACTCTTTTGCACCTTGTAAGGATGATTCATGTAGCCAGAAGGTGCACTTTGCAGGTGGGCCTTTAAACACTGGGTTATGTTGGAATTCAGCTTCTATCTGATAGAGATCCACTCACATGAACCTACAGTAAAGCCTAGCCTGCATCTATTATAAATAAAAGTAAATATTGACATTACGTTGCATACCATTAAGCTTTCTCAGCAGTTAATATCTGAATCGTATACACTACATTTTTCCAGATAAGGTGCTATTTATCGGCCATAAGACGTTTAATGTATATAGTCACAACATAGTTGTATTCTTCCCAAAGACAAGGACAGAGCTAGAGATAACGTGTTCAATGTCTTGATAAAAGATAAAAATGTAATTTATTTATTATGAAGTTATTTCAGATATTGCGGTTCTTTGTGATGTCATGTGACCCACACAGATGTTTGTTTGCCTGATCCACTCGCCCCTCCAATAGGACGTTGTCTCCGTGTGCCTTAGATGTCTGTGTTTTCTCCCCCTTTGCACTGCAGTGAGCGCTGTTCTATGAGCTAATATCTTAACAACAGCGATCACAAGCATTGCCCCGGGGCAATGCTGCAGCCCCTCAGAGAAACACTATCAGACAAGTCTCCAGCCCATCTAGAATAAATGTGGTCCCGGGGTGTGTGCTAACTGGGTATATGATGGGGATGCAGAGCCATTTGGAAGTCCAAAGCCAGGTGTTAGCACTGCCTCATCAATAATTGATAGAGGCAAACCAATCAGAACAATTTGCTCCCCACAGCGAAGTGCTAGAGCCGCCTAACACCAGTGAATCATTAATGAGGCAATTAGCTGAAATGGTTAGACGGTTAGCCCACACTGGCAGCGCTCCTGCGACGGGTCTCCTCGTACAGGAGCTGCACATGACGGAGCGATGTACCGGCCGCTGCAAGCTGTGGGGGAGAAGGAGTGGAATCACACAACGGGCGCTCGGAGACGGAGCTCAGCCTCTTTACGGTTGGAGTGTAACTTGTGTCAGTGATGCCCGCCCTACGTGTGTTGACCACGGGTCAGAGAGCCAATAATGGGAACAAACCCAGCTGGCCATTACCATGGGAGATTGACCTTTATCGGTTGTTGTTGCCATTGCGCAGACCCGACATAAGCCGTCTCCCGGGTGACTCAAGTGTGGGAGAGCCTTTGTGGACACGGAGGACATCGATCTCAGTGACATCACTCAAACATTGGGGAAGGAGCAACAACAATAACAGCAAAGATGGAGTTTGCCTTTGAAGAGCGGAGATCCTGGTTTGTTGTTTGAAAGGAAAATCAAAGCCCCGAAGGAGCTGCTCACAAAGCCTCATCGATTGGCCATATTGGAACCATTTCATAGTTTATCGATGCTCCTCTTCCTGCTCTCTCAGACTCCGGCCCAGCACATGTTCAATTAAACCGGCATACCTTGATGTCTGGAAGAAACCATACAAACGTATCAAGCTGCATGTATTATTACCAAACACACACTCCTATTCAAAGTAAATCTCAATTGTTCATGTTTTTCATGTTGTTTACCGTTTCTCTATCACAGCTTTTCAATGTGCAAAAACGTTTTAGATATTTCAGCTTTCAAATACTACATTCTCAGTTTCAATATATCTTTGTCATGGAAGTGATTTGTAGTGTTTGAATGAGAGTGGAAAAACAGGTGGAATAGAAAAGGGGGGAACAAGGCTGAACGAAGGGGCCTGCATACTAAACTCTTAAGGTTTATTGCTGTAAAGATTTAGCATTTAACTGTGTGCAATTATGTTCCAAGAGTCTGCAGGTTGTCATTCCTAACTGACTATAGAAATGTCAATAAAGTAAAATGTATGTCATGCTTTACCTGGTGGTATACGAGAAAACAAAATATTCCATTTACCAGCTAATAATACAATTCAACACTTAGTGTAGGATTGTTTCCTAATACACTGCTGACAAATTACTTTTGATGATATATTTGAAAATGAATGGGAGATAAAGCGATTTGCAGGAAGAAGAAAATAGCCCCAATGATCTGCTCCATTATTTGCACCAATATTAACCTTCTTGGTCTACATATCTGAGGAAAGTCTGAAATATCCCCTCTGGTATATTGGGACGTTAGGCTTCACAAAGCAATTCGTTTGGGAAATAATTATGCATGGTGATAGCAAGTGCTTCACAGCTATTGAATATATATGGCTGTTATCTAAATTAATTTGATCATCATGAATTCAAATGTTTAATCCCAAAGAACATTTTGTCAACTAAAAGTTTGCATGGAAAATGAAAAGTAATCTATTAGTAGCTAGGAGGACGTGTGTACTTAATATTGACACTAGTAGACAGTCTGTTTTATTCCCGTTCTCTTCACTTTTACAGCCCTCGCGGGATGCTATCCTCAATAGATAATTGCAAACAGGAAATTTGCATTATTACTTGAGAGAGTCATAACCCTGACACCTTTTGTGTTTTGAGATTAATATGTAATTAAAATAGTAAATCAAGATTTATTAAGCTGTAGTACAAAGAAAATTAGAAATATAGTCAGATTATATAATGAGAAAGGAAGATATGTTCCTTAAAGTAGCATTCTGCTATGCATGCTTTCACACACGTGCTCACACACACACACACAGCCCCTGTTAACATTTATGCACATTTACAAATGTGACAAACCTCACCTCACCCTGAAGACCCCTTCCTTTCCAAACCACAATTTTTAAATGTGGAGTCTACACCTTTCTCACTGGCTCACCACAGCTTTCCCATAGTTATCGTTTTAAGGCTTTCATGCTCACAGTAGCTACGACTGCAGTGAAAACAAGTGAGAGCACGCCCTATCCTGCGCGTTAGGAGAGTAAACAGGCCCCACTGTCCATTCTTTCCAGCCATCCTGGAGTATGGAAAAAAGCTGTTAAAAGCTTAATGGGCTGCTCTTATTGTTTAAAAATTGCTCGACGTATAAATGGCCGAAGAAAACATTGCTTGGCCTCAATTATGCATTGAAAATAAAGTTATGAGCTAGTGGCTGAATTATTGATGCTGGCACCGGGAACACAAACATGTTGGCAATGTGTCACTGCTTTTTTGCTGATGCTTCATGTTGTATTGATAATTTTCCATCTAAAAAGCCCATGAAGTCTTGATCTGTGAAAGATGGAAAAACACACCACGAGTATTGGAAATCTAATGCAATATTACTGGAAGAGGAAAACAGATAACATATTATCGAGTAACACAATGGGAAAATAAAAGAATAAAGAAATAAGTCGCCTTGAGAAAGGACTCAAGTATTGTCTTTTGTGTGAACAGTATACTGTCCCAAAAGTACATTGTCCATTTAAAGAATGGACACAATAAAGAGACAAAACATGCTCTAACCACCTTACTCAATGCCTCTTTTTGTTTGTGTGTGTGTGTGTGTGTGCACGAGCGAGCGAGCATGCGTGCGCAAAATAGGGCATAACAGCACTAAGGCTCTTAGTCTTGGGACTGTCCCGTGTGGCTGACGCGCTTCCTGAGATGCAAATGCTTGTGCCTCGTGCCCGTAGCTTCTCTATCCTGCGTCTCACTGACAATCTGCAGCTGCATACACACACATCCAAGTGTGCAAAGCAAGATAATACTAATAACTAAAATAATTTGTGATACAAATCAAATGAAGCAGAGAAACAAACAAAGTAATGTAGAAAAAGTTGTGAAAAAGTGTCAGAACTTGCTTCTCGCTTTTTTGGTAAAATGAACACGGCGTGAGTCTCCGAGAACGTTGGTGTTGAAGTTCAGTTTCTGATGCAGAATGAATGCAAAGTATTAGCTCACGTGGATGAAAGTTGTTCTTTTATCCATTTAAGATTGGGATTTTTAGAAATTTATTCTGTTTCCCGACACGCTTTTACTTTTGTATTTTTCCTCGGCATAATGTATTTTTAGTTATCTTTCCAGATCACCAATCTACATGCACATGCATGTAGATGCACGCACACATTCATATATTGTTGTGTAATTAATGTCTTCAGTGAGAAAAGTGTGTGTTACGTAGTCTCTGTGGTCTAGGCTGAAACAAGGCTGTTTTCTTCAAGTAAAGGAAACTGATCCTCTATTCAAACAATACATGCTCACATACTCCGTGCGAGTGCAAAACTATCACAGATCGTTACAGATATTACTTAGTTTGAGGGGAGGTTTGGAGCGCTGCGCCTACCCGTCTCCCGTGCTCAGCCCTTATCTCTGTGGATATTGTGAGGTTTTTCTAGGGCTGACTAGTACACTGAGGTTAATGCGCTGCTATTGAGGCCATGGTTGAGACACCGATTACCCAATCAAATCCTGTGTTTATAGGCACAGCCACAATGAGAGCGCCACTGCACTCGCGTAGTGTTTCACAATCTGTGGCCGTTAAGC